CAGAACCCCTTAAGGAGGCCCCGGGGACTTTCTCCGGCAGCCTCCTTTCCCTCTGTAGCATCCACAAGAGACTTTCAACTTGAAAGGCAAATAACCCTTTGTTAATTAGGGCTTGCAGCTTGGACACACACAGGGAGGGGTGCTTTGGAGGCTCCTCAGCGACCCCCAGGCGAGTTTGAGATGCCTCCAAGAGCTTCTGGGGGCTTCCCGGAACTGAAGCATATGGGCTGGAGGTTCCCACACCTTGCCTTTTAGCTTTCCTTGTGTAGTCAGAAAACAGCGGGGATAATATGGCGGACTCTTCACCCGTAAGTCTTGGTTGTGACAAAAGCTGCTGCTGCTGCCGTTGCCGTTGTAGCTGCTGCTGTTGCTGTTGCCCTTGTGCCTTTGCCTTCTGTTGCTGCTGCTGTTGTTGCTGGGGCTGTTCTGGCTGCTGTTGCTGGTGCTGCTGCTGCCGCGGCTCAGGTTCTCCGGTACGTTCCGTCTTTACTATCCCACGTTTTTCATTTGTTGCAGTAGTGTACGGATCCACCGGGAACCCGCTGGCGCTGCTGCTGCTGTGGTCGCCCGCTGCTTCTTGCTGTGTGAGTTGCACTTCACTGCTTGCCTTCCTTCTTTTTAAAGGGCTGATGCAGCCCTCCCCTCCCAGCGGCAGCCGACTAAACCTCTTGGCCGTGGCCTCTACAGCTGCACGGCTAAGGGAGGAAGCAGCAAGTCGAGCTGACGACTTCAGGCGCCCCTTTCCGGAACCTGAGCAACAAGACAGAGGAGTGGGGGGCCCCGAGTTTCCCCCGCTACCTGCATGGGGTCCCCGTACCCTGAGAGGCGTCACATAGGGAGAGGGTACAGTGCTAACAGCAGGACAGGAAGACGAGTCGCCTCGCGTTGCTGCTGCTGCTGCTGACGACGATGCTGCTACCGCTGATGATGCTGCCCTTGCCAGCGACCGTCGCGGCGTCGACGGCTCGCTGTAGGAGCCCTGAGAGAGTACTGGGGCAAATCTCGTTCCTACTGCGGCTGCTGCTGCTGCTGTTGCTGCTGTTGCTGCGGTTAGTCCTGCGGTGTTCATAGCAACGTGCTGTGAGTTTGTTGCCAATAGCGTAGTTTCTCTACACCGGGGAGCGGTAGCAGCTGCACTATCGGCACCTGCATTTCTTATGCACTTATTGTCTCCCAGTTCAACATCGGGAGCAGCAACAACTTCTTGTGGTGCAACATGAGCCGCGGCAACGGCAACAGCAACCTGCTGGGAGGCAGGGACAACAGCAGGAGAGCGAGTTGCTGCTGCTTCCGCTGCACCAACTGCAGGCGAGGAACTCTCAAGGGCTGTATCGACACCTTGAGAAAAAAATAAAAAGCCATTATCACCGGCAGGTGAAGCAGCAGCAGCAGCAGCTACGGGTGTTGCTGCTTTGTCTGGGACAGAGGGTAGCGACTCGTCCCTCTCTGTATGCTGCGTTGCAGGTAGCCCCCTGGCCTCCATATCCAGCTCTGCATCTTGTGCTGCAACTATTACTACTGTCTCAGTTGCTGTTGCCTCTGTTGCAGCCACAACTTTTGCTGCTGCATCCGTCGCCAGCGTATCGCTTTTTGCTGCTGCTGTGTCCGTTGCTCCTGTGCTGCTTGATGCTGTCGTGGCATCCGTTGCTGCTGCTGCATCCGTTGCTTCTGCTTCATCCGTTTCCATGGCTGCATCCGTTGCTGCAGCTGCGTCCGTTGCTGCAGCTGCATCCGTTGCATCTGCTGCGTCCGTTGTCGTTGCATCTGCTGCATCCGTTGCTGCTGCTGCATCCGTTGCATCTGCTGCATTCGTTGCTGTTGCTGCATCCGTTGCTGCTGTTGCATGCGTTGCTGTAGCTGCATGCCTTGCTGCAGCTGCATCTGTTGCTGCGGGCTTGCTTCCTAGTTCCTGCTGAGTGTGTTGTGTCAGTTCATCTGCTTCTAATTGGTAAACTTGCCAGACCACTTCTCTGTGTGTTTGCTGACTGTCCGCCTCACTCCAACTGCCGCAAACCACAGGTGCTGTCCCGTAAAGCCCTTCAACAGCCCCTTCGCCCGCAAGTACGGGCCGCCCAAGGGGGCCCCCTTCAAGAAGGCTTTCTTTCGGAGATCCCACCAGCTGCCTGCGAGGGCCTTGGCTGGCAGCTGTGTGTATGGACGCGGGCGCGCGAGCTTGCTGCAGAGCTGTATGAGGCAGAGGGGAGTGAGATGCAGCCGCCGCAGCAGCAGCACAAGCAGCGGCAGCAGCGTGAGCAGCAGCTGGGGGAGCAGCAGCAGCGGCAGCGATAAGACCTCTGGATGACAAAGAACCCGAAATCTTGTTTTCCCCCCTCTCGCACGGCAAGCGAGGTGGACGGATGCTGGAAGCAGAGGCTGCAATGTCAGAAGCATTTGGTGCTTCAGCAGCCGCTGCTGCTGCTGCACGTTCTGCTGGTGCTGCAGCTGCTGTCAGCATTGCTGGTACTGCTGCTGATGCTGAAGGCGCTGCTTCCACCACACAGTCAGCTTCATCAGCAGTGTCAGATGCTGCAGTTGCTGCCTCTGCAGTTGCTGCCCCTGCTGTTGCAGCTGCTGCCCCTGCCGCTGCGGTTGCGCCCACTCCCCTCTTCCGGAAGGCAGCAGCAGCAGCTGCTGCTGCTGCATGAATTTGTGATGGAGTTGCCGCTTCTGCCTGAGCTTTCATTTGGGCCAACAAAGACAGCTCAGAGGGCCGCAACCAGAGGGCGCTGGCTCCACCCTTGCCTCTCTGGTCGCGCTTGCCTTCGGTTCCAGTTACTGTTGCTGCTGCTGCAGCTGGTGCTGGTTCTGATGCGGCAGCAACAGCAGCAACAGCTGCAGTCACCGCAGCAAGGCCTGTGGAGTAAAACGCAATAGATGCAGGGCGTCTGATCTCTTTCTCTGACTCGCAGCTTCCTTCACAGTTGCTGTTTTTGTTGCTGCCGGTAGCGGTGCTACTGCTGCCGTTCAAGTCCGCTATGCTGCACTCTGCGGATTCCACTTTGGGCCTGCTTGAAGACGCTCTGAATGCCCCCTTAAACATACTTCGCGGCTCACTGGGAATGCTGCTTTTCGAAGGGCTCAGCAGCTCTCTGCCCCCTGCAGTGGCCGTAGAGGTCCATGGGTCCCCTTTCGGCCCCTCGGGCGCCCTTGGTGCCCCTGGGGAGCCAGGGGGGTCCCCAGCAGCGGTGCAGGTGAAGGTACTATCAATTCGGAGACCATTCCAACCGAAAAGTGGTAAAGACGGAGGGGAAAACGCTTCCAGACGTCCCTCTGAGGGTCCTTGAAGAGGAACTCCCAAGGGGCCATCGGGGACTGCTTGGTGTGTACAGCCATCTACAGTGTCATCTTGGCTGCCGCAACACAGCTGCGAGAAGCAGCGAAGTTCACCTGCTGACTCTTCGTCTTCTTCAGGCCCCATTGGCGCCGTAATGTATTAAACAAATCAAAGCGCCACAGCAGCAGCAGCAGTTGCTACTGCTGGTGTTGTGCGTGTTGCGCGTCGGTTGAGTGCAATGAGGTTTCACGGTCGCAGCAGGAGTTGAAGACGTGCCCAATCCCTCCACAGGGTTTCTTACTCACTATACATGTGATAAATACTACTTTTAGAGGGAAACATAATGCTGAAACGGGCGGAGGAACGGCCTCCGTGGGGTTGGAGCACAGCCGACTCCGTGGAAGCCCCCCGTGAGCCGCTCGCACCCTACAGATAACAATACGTACGCGTTACCAGGTAATTCAACTAAATCCTTGCATGAAAATAAGAGGAAGTAACTGAAGTAGAAGAGATGGGCCGAAGAGGACACCTGGGAGGTCTAGGGTAACAGTCAGAGTAGGCTTTCCTGGTGGCGACGAGACAAAAATCAACTGCAAAAATTTCGGAGTAAGAGCTTACTAATTTGAGAGAATAGACGCTAAATTCGTCAGATAAGATCCGCCATAGATACGATCCAGCAGCTGGGGAGAGGGGCCCCTTTCCCAAAGGTGGAGGCCCCCATTGGGGCTATGCAGTCGCTAGTTCTGACTACGAATCCATGTTGCAGGAAAAAGTGAGGCTGTATTATCAAAATTTTTTCTAATTTTAATTGCGTTTTAGTGCCTTTGTAAAAGCTTCAAATTGTGGAAAACTTTTGGTGACGGCAAAACGTAAAGGTCGCACGGAACCGTGACAATGTTGCAAATTTCCCATGCCCCATAACCAAAGTAGAAAAGGAGCATTCAGCTAAAATTTAGAGGTCGGAAGGTATTACTGTGCATTATTTCCGTGCAGCGCCACGCACAAAAGCTTATATTCATCTGCATAGGTAGCCACAAGGCGGCTATATATCGCAACGCTGTTCCATGCAGCGCAGGCGTTTTTTGGATACATCACCGCAGATTCAGCAAAAATTGGCAGCTTCATCACCTAATTTTCAATGAACTTTGCGCAGAAACTGACTTCCCACTCCAAATGCGCCACTCGTAGATCATTTGGAGCCACTACAGGTGTTCGAGCTGAAAGTACTAACCCGTGGGTGTTACGTAGTTCGACAGCAAAGCGCGCATACTCCCCCGCTTAATTGAGTACAACCTCTACAGCTGAAGTGTGGGGCAGGGGGGCGGTCTGTGTCCCGCTGCTTCACTCTTGAGACCTTTAATGCCCTTGAATGAGTTCGTCCATTGAAACTATAGTCAGCAGAGTTGACTAGCTTCGCTGCAGACACGACTGACATGACATGGATGGCGAGCACTCTACCCAAGAGGCTACGCTTGAGTCATGTGGGCTGTCCTCGGCCATCACGAGCAGTTGTAACGACTGCTCCTGCAACAACTGCTACCGTGGCTGCTGGCTCTGCTGCTTGGGCCACAGCCAAAGCCGCAGCAGCACCTCCTCCCGCTGTCAATGCTTTAAAAAAGCGCAGTGCGAACTGGAACTTGAACGCTGCTGCCTGCGCATGCACCTGCCTGCTTGTGACATCTTGAATGAAGCAAGTGCTGCAGCTGCCGCCGCTGCTACAGCCCCTCTAGTCTTCTTCTTCAACTGGCTGGAACTCGGCCTCGTCAGGCTCCGATATCCAGTCAGCGAATTCTATAGATGTGTCCCAGGCTGCAGCCATTCCACTGTCGGTGCCTGCTGCTGGAGTTGCTGCTCCTTGTTGTTGCAGCTGCTGCTGCACCTGGTGCTGGAAACAGCGCTGTAGCCAAACTTGGGATAAAGGAACTGGAGGAGCAGCGAGATAAGGCGGCAGCGAAGTGGGCAGAGGGACACACGGCAGCAGTGGGAGAGCAGATAGCAGCAATGGCTGCACAAAGTCGGCTGATGCCGTAGCTGTTGGCTGCTGGTGCTGCTCTTGCGACCCTGTAGTAACAGGTGGCAAGGCCAAACCCAACAGTGGCAGCATTCTGCCGTGAGCGTTGCTGCAGTTAAGTGGCAGGTCTTTGCTGATTGCATAGAGGGCAAAGTAAGGGTCTCTTGAGGCGACTAGGAGGTAGGAGCCATTGGAATGCACAGCGATGTTGCTGCTGCTGCTGCTGCTTCGCGGAGCCACAAAGCTCATCTCCAGATCCACAGTATAGCTGCTGCTGCAGCAGCGGCAGCTGCATCCTCCAGCGTCGACCAAATACTTCTCGCTGACGCGACTTCCTGCTGCCGTTGTTGGTTTTAATTGTGCCGTCGGTTCTGCAGCTGCTGCTGACTGTGCAGGTGCTCTGGTGTTCGAGATGACTAGGGATGGCAACTGAGGGAACCAAATATTTGCCCTCGTGAGTTTGTCTGTCTCCTGCTGTTGTTCCCGCTGCTCTTGTTCCTGCTGCTGTAGGCTGTCTCTGTTTGCTGTTGCTGATGCTGCAGCACTGCAGTGCACGTGCAGTTGCTTTTCTTTGTGGCTTCTAAAACGACGGACACAAACTTGCAGCACTGAAATCTCTCCAGCTGTGTCGCAGCAGATCAGCCTGGCTGTGTCTACAATTGGGTCCATCACTTTGTTGTTCCTTCTGCTGCCGCTACTGTGAACTTCGCTGTTTTCTCTGCCGCGGGAATTAGTGTTTCTCTGTCGCCTTGCAATGGAAAAGTAGAGACGGTCAGTGATAGGCAGCCTGCTGATGCAGTTGCGCTGTATGCACACCTCAGGCGCCTCATCAACTGACTCTGTATCCTTGCGCTGCTGCCGGTCGCCTTCGTCTTCCAGCCGCCCAGACTGTAGCACTGAGCTTAACTTGTCCTGCTCCAGATTCTGTTGATTCTGCTGTTTCTGCGCCTCCCGTTGCGGCTGCTGCTCCCTCTCCTTCCGCTGCCAACACACAAGCACGCTGAAGAGCAAGTGCTGTTGCTGTGTGGACAGCCCGAAGCCCATTCGAAGGTTCCCAATAAACTCCCGAGCAGCATCAGTAGCAGCAGGCACTGTACTTTCCATTTCTCCTGCAGCTCTCCTGAAGCTACGCAGCACTTCCTTCGCTGCTTGCCTCAGCAGCACCGCAGGCATTTCAGCCTGCAGCATTGCTGCTGAGGTGTCAGGGGAGGCACCTCCCCAAGGTGGGCAGGGGGCTCCTAGAGAAGACTGCGAAAAGCAAAAGCAGAATGCTGCACAATATTCCAGCAAACGCAGCGCATTTTGACGCTGCAGATGTAGCAGAGATGGCAGATTCTGCTGGACCTGCTGCTGCAACTGTAGTATGCTTCTACTGTTGCTGCCGTCCGCCGGGTCCAGCAGACGCAGCAGACGAACCACTCGGTTACAAAACTGCTGCAAGACAAGCTGCTGTTTGCCCTGGGGCGCAGCGGCATCAGGCAACAGCGCGGCAGCAGGGTCTGCGGTAACAGAAGCCTTTCCAGATGCCGGTGCTGCCGCTCCCCCTTTTGGCCGAGCTTTCTTGGACGGCCTGGCTGCTGCTGTTGCGACGGGATCGTCGGCGCACCCACCATTTTTCCCGCCACAGCCGCTGTTGCCAGCGCAATTGCTGCTACTTTTTACATTGGAAGCGCCACTTGCTGGCTGCAACACGCCTACAGGTGGGCAGCTGCTGCGTAGCAGAAGTAGTTGCTGCTCTAGCGTTTGCTGCAGCAGCTTGCGCCTCACCATATGTTTCTCTGTCAAGAGCAGAGACAGAGAACACGCTACAAGGGTGTAGCAGGACGTAGCCAGCCAGCCTGCTGCCTCATGGGGTAGTGATGAATTCCCCTGCTGCTGGTGCTTAGCAGCAGTAGCAGCAGCAGACGCGGCGGGGAATGAAGTTAGTGGGGAATCAGATGAAGAACTCACAGATACAAGAGCAGCCCACCAGCTGGTCAGCTGCTGCCTTAGTGCTGCTGCCTCTTTGCTGCTGCTAGTGTTCGTGCTGCTGTACTTGTCAGCAAGGTTGTGCTGGTTGCTGCTCGCTGTGCATCCCCCTGCATGCGCACCTTCGGATTCCCTCCTGTCAGTTACTTTTGCATCACTTTCTGCTTTTGCTGATAATGCGCTGCTCTTACTGCTGCTGTTGCTTATCCTGCTGCTGCTGCTGCTGCTCTGGCGTCGCGGCTTTGCACCTTTTCGCTGCATGCAACATTCAATGAGGCCGTCAAAATCCTCGTCTATGCGCTGCCGCAGCTTGCTAGACAGTAGCCGCAAGCTGCTGCTGCTGCTGCTGCCATGTTTCTTCCTGTGGGTTGCGTGGGGCTTCAGCACAAGCTGACTCCTATGGCCTTCGAACAGCGACTCTTGCTGCCACTCGTGCTGCTGCGTATCACGGGGCCGCTGCTGCTGCTGCTCCATCTGACCCCTTCGCTGGCTTTTGCAGGCTGCGCAGCTGCAGCAGCAGCAGCAGCACGGCAGTACCGCCGCTTCCATCTCATCATAAGCAGCAACCAAACCTGGCTGCGCGCCGACGTAGACCATCGGGCGGGGGGGGCCCGCTGATGAGGGGGCCCCCCTCGCTGTAGGTGCAGTACCCGGGGTCCCCTCTGGGCCCCTCTGCCTAGAAGTTGAAGTGAGGTAGACCGGATACGAGGAGGCCCTAGTGTCGTAGAGCAGCAGCAGGGCATCTGCGGTGACGCCGCAGAGGATGCTGGGCCCCAGACGGGGCAGCCAGGTGACACTGGTACAAACTTGCTGCTGAAGCTTGCTGCTGCTGCTGCTGGCTGCAGCAGCAGCGGCTACTGCACTAGCAGACGGCCCCTGACACCACGGGGGGCTTACGTCAGCGTACACAGGGAGGCGGCTGCTGCCGCCTCCTCTATTGCTGCTGCCTGCAGGAGCTGCTGCATCCGCAGAAGTGCTGCTTGATTGGGGCTTGCTGCTGTTGCTGGTGCTGCAGCGAAGTATGGTCTTTGCTGCTGTTGCAGCAGGCGGAGCGTGCGCATAAAAGCAGAAAGCGTTAGCTTCAATGTCAAATACGGAAAGAAATGATGCAGCTGTGGCAGAGGCAACAGCCAGCTGCTGCTGCAGCAAGCTGTTGCTGCTGCAACAGCAAAGCGGCTCCCGCAGGGAAAATCCCTTCAACTCATTCGCTTCATAAAGACCATCGCTGCTGCTGCTGCTGCCACTCCAGTCTAGCACGACGCCGTTACCTCCCTTGTCGACTGCCAGGAGCTGCCGGTCCGACCCGAAGAGTTCGCTACTTCGCATGTGGCAGCAGCAGCAGCCGCTGCTGCCAGCGCTGCCACCGGCGCTGTGGCTGCCGCTGCAGCAGACAGCATCCCCCAGGCCCAAAAATTCGGCTTCAGCTGCTGCTGCTGTTCCTGCTGCTGCCTCTGAGATCGACAGCAGACGCCGCAGCTGAGGTGTATGCACACCTAGCATCTGCACTAGCAAGACTGAGTAGGGGAGAGACGCACAACGCAGCACTTCGGCCTTCCCTTCTGTCTCAGGGAAATCAAAATACGTGCTGCCGCTGCTGCTGCTGTTGATTATTTTGTCCTGATTCCCACAGCCAGGAGCAGCAGCGGGAGTGGTAGCTGGTGCGGCAGCAGGCCAGTGCGACTTGATAGCAAAAATGCCACCCTCAGAGGTTCCCAATGTCACCTCTGTCTCATCATAGCCGCCCCAGCCCCCACTGAATGTCAAGCAGCTGCAGTGACTCTGCAGCAACTTCTCGAAGTAGCCCCTGTTGCCCGTGCCACAGCTGCTGCTACTGCTGCTGCTGCTCCGACGTATGTAAGGATGGACAACCCTGGAGCCGTTAGCGCAGTCAAAAAAACAAAGGCGGCCGGCAGAGTCGCTAGAGACCCACCGAGCCATTTTCGTTCCTCTGTTGTTGGTGCTATTGCTGCTGCTGCTATTGCTGCTGCTAGTGCTGCGGGAAAATTCAAGCGCACTTAGGAGGTAGAGGTGGCCACTGCTCTGCCCGCCTTCTGAGCCGTAGATACATTGCAGGAGAGGCCTGTAGGCGCAAACTTTGCGTCCCAGTTGTTCAACTCTTCACATTTTAACTTAGTGGTTCGTGGCTCCGCTGACAAGGGCTAGCTCGCGGAGCCGGGCTTGCCAAAACCGCAGTCTGGTGCCGCTGAGGATCTCATGAACGTCAGCGGAGTGCTGAAATGTTCTGGTGTGATGCCGCTGCCGCCGCTTTCGCTGGTATTGTGGCCAATGTTGCTGCCGCTGCTGCTGGGTATTGAGCTCGGAATGCTGAGCAGAAGAGCGAATATCATGAATGCACCAGGGTACTGTACAGCAGACATTCAGGAAAAAAAAATAACCGTGATTGAGAAGGAGTGGAAGCAAGGAAACATAACCCAGAGAAACAGACGAAAAAAAGGGGGACTGTGGAGGGAGCCTCTGCAGAATTCAGGGGCAGCACCGGGAAAAACAAAGAAATATAATGGGGAAACTATATTTAATTTCTCATTAACAGCCGCCAGATCTCAGAATGTAACAACATAAACTCAGAGACAACCCCTAGGGGGCCCCCCAACACGAGGCCCCCAGCCCTTTGGCCAGGCCAATTAAGCCGTGTACACAATTTTTACTTGAATCCTAACTATTTATATTTCTCCGTCACGTCTGAGCATTAATATTGCAGCATTTAGGCACACGTCAACTGTTTTGTACTCCCCAGCGCCGTTGTCTCCACTAGCTGAACCGTCACCTGTGTCCTCATCCTGAACCCGGACTTTAAAGCTGAGATCCGAAGGTCTTAGTGAGACGACAAAAAAGTCTGCTTGTGTAGTGTATTGACACTAAGTATATTTTATGAACATAAACACTGGCGGCAGCAGCTGAAGCAGCTCACCAGACAGCCGTTGTGCAACGCCGATTCCATCTCTCTTCATTTATAGGGCTTTTCCATATTCAACATCCTCGGCTGTGACTTTTACATATCAGACGGATAGGCAGCAGCAGGTCTAGGCAAGCCCAAGTCAACGAGCAACAGCAGCTGGAGCAGCAGCAAGCAGCACCGGTAACACATTTACGCGCACGGTAGCAGCAGCTGCAGCAGCAGCAGCAACAGTAGCGGTAGCAGCAACAGAAGCAGGAGCAGCATCAAAAATTGCAGGAAACCACGCAACAAACACAGCAGCAGAGGCAGCAGCAGAGGCAGCAGCAGCAATTCCACCGACAGGAGTGCTAGCAGTAACAACAGCAACAACAGTGGCTGCAAGCTAATGCCTGAGATGTGAAGACGAGGTTTTGCATCAGCTCTTCAAAATGACACAAGCAGCAGAAAATGAAACAGTTGAAGCTCAAGGAGCTTTCCGCTCCAAGCCATCCTGTCCGCTTTCTCGTGGGCGGGTTGATGCTGCTGAATTGGCAGCAGCAGCAACCAGATCCAGCAGCAGCCACGGCGACCAGAGCAGCTGCTGCTGCTTTTGCTTCGCTCAGAAAAAGAGGACAGGGAATGCGGACTTGCCAAGGGAGGCAGTGAGAAAAGGAGAGGAACTGGCAGAGAGACACGCCGGCAGGAGCACCAGGAGCGACAGCAGCAGCAGCGCTGCCTGCGGCTGTTGCAAATGCATCCCCTGCTGCAGCAGCAGCAATAGGGCCGACACAATCAGCAGAAGCCAGGAAAAATCTGCTGCAGGGGCCTCCCGGAGCCGGCTAGGACCAAGTCAGAAGCCACACCAACATCAGGACAACAACAGCAGCAGCGCTGAGAGCAGCAACAGCAACAGTGCTGACAACAGCAACAGCAGCAGCGCTGACAGCAGCAACGACAGTGCTGACAGCAGCATCGACAGTGCTGACAGCAGCACCAGCGCCAATACTAGTAGTGGAAGCCATAGAAGCCATAGGTTGGAGGTGACATATCTGGAACCAGGCTCAAGGACTTTTCTACTTGTGCTACTGCTTCAGCTTTGTGTTGTCCTCTCCTTAACTCCTGCTGCCATCAGTTTTCGCATGCAGCTTATCTGCTGCGCTTCTGTTGCTGCGTTTGTTGCTGCTGATCGGCTCATGCCTCTCTTTGCGAAGAAACTGCTGGAGTGCGGTGAGCATTCATGGCGCCGTGTTCTTACTGCTGCTGCGGCTACTGTTGCTGCGGCTGCTGGTGCTGCTGCCATGGTTGCTATTCATGTGGCTGCTATCCTTTCGGCTGCCGCCGCTGCTCCTTCTGCCGTTTCTCTTCTCTCTGCTGCTCTAGGTTCTGTCATTATTATTGATGCTGCTCGTGGTTTTACTGCCGTGGCTGCCGCTTCTCTTGATCTCGTCTGTCGTGTAGATGCTGTGCACACGCTGCCGCTGTTGCGTTTTCCATGTTTCTTGTTCATTGAATTCATTGCTTGCGAGTTTCGGGAGCACAAATGAGCACTTTCTATTGCTGCTGCTGCCGCGCTGCTGCTGCAGGCTTTGCAGGTCGCGACCTGCACAAGCCACCTCCCTCTCCTCTTGTTCCTGAGGCAGGTGGCCTCTGCTGCATCTTTTGCTTCCTTGCGGCTGCCACTGCAGGACAGCTGCTGTTAGATAGGCGTCATCTTCAAGTGCGCGTTGCCACTGCTGCTGCTTTTGCTGTTGCAGTTACCAGCTCTTCTAAATCTGCTGCTGCTGCACCTGCTTCTGCCCCTTCTGCGTCTTTCGGCTCCCGTCGATTATTAGTTGTGTCTCAGCTGTTGCTTCCGTGTAGGTGCAGCTTGCAGTAATAGTGCTTTTCTGCTACTAAAGTTTCTATGGACGTGTGCGTGCAGCTGGTGGAGTATCCGGCTGCACTGCTGGGGGCGACCTGGATGGGGTTCCTGGGTTTTGTTGATGATGCTTTGGCTCTACCGTGGCGCTTGAAACTACTGCTGCCATTGCTTGCAGCATCTCCAATAGTTGCTGCTTACAGTGGCAGCACTACAGTTGTGCTGCCCTGTCGGGTGTATACGCTTCTACGGGACGCGTGGACTGGCGTTGCTGTTACCGCCGCGCCGGCTGCAGCGAATGTTGCTGCCGCCGTTGAGCTGCCCATTAAACATCTTGTAGGGGCTTTGCTGCTGCTCATGCAGCAGCTCTGTCAGTGGGAGCTGCAACTGCGGCAGATCCACTCTAAGTTGCTTTCCTCAATTCCAGCGGCAGCAGCAGCTGCTGCTGCTTCAGCTGCAAGGTGCGCTTTATTGGGCCTGCAGCAGTTGTCAGATCTATTGGTGAGTTTTGCCGGCTGCTCTGCTTCGGCGCTGCTCTGCAGTTTCTTCGCTTCTCAGACGCTGCGTCTGTCTTCATGCTTGAATGCAACTTAAATCCGCCATTATTGTGTAGGCTGTCTGCCATTCTACAGTTTGGTGAGATCTATTTAAGCATAATTATTTCCGTAAGTATAAGGTGCATCTCCGCCTTCTACCCTGTAGCTCTGCCTTGAAGAGATAACTCTTGCGTGACTTGCAATTACTGCTGCAGCACAACATCCTTCGTCTTCTTCCCTCTGAACCGAAACTTCTGACCAGCAGCAGTAGTGGCAGCTGCAGCAGCGGTTTCTGGGTGCTGGTTGACGTGAGAGAGCTGTACTATGTTTATATGACACTTCTAACTATCTTCTGTACAAATGCAATAAATATTTATGCAGGTGAGCTTTTGCAACAAGAGCAGCAGAAGCAGCAGCAGCACAAACGGAAACAAAAACAGCTGCTATCACACGATTCGCAGTACAAACAGCAGCTGCAGCAGCGACAATGCAGACAAGAACAAGAACATCAGCGGGAACCGCAGTCACAGCAGCAGCACAAAGAGCAAATGAACAATGTGTGTATGTCTTCTATGATTTTAGGGATAAATGGATTGGAGGTGGGGCAATCGGTCGTCATTGCTTCATTTGTTTGCATTCACAACGTCGTTGTAAGCGCGCCTTTTGGCATTTCCATGTGCTGCTTCTCCTTCACCGCTCTTTGAAAATCGCTTTACAGTGCTTGGTGTTGCATCTTGTAGATGAAGTGGCAAACGCTGTTGGTCGCTTTGCTCCCGCAACAATTCACTACATGTGTTGCAGCAATCCATTCTGCCTGTGCAGTAGCCCATCTTTGCTGCAGCAGCAGAAATGTAGCTCTTCTCATTTGGCTGCCCATGAGTCTTCACAAAAATTCATAACGCATCAGATTTGGGAGAAAATCCCCTCTTTTGACCTGCATATCGTTTGCTGCGGGCTTTGCGGCGAGAACTTTTTCCTTTTGTTGCCGCTACTGTCGCCGTATTGTTGCCTCTGCCGCTGCTTCCTTTCCAGGAACTGAGCTCCCACTTCGGCTCGGTGGATGCAGCCAAGGTGGTATTGGCGCAACAGGTAATGCCGAGAATCTGGCGATACTCCCTTTCTATCGAGTGGGCCCTTAGTTGTCCTCTCTACATTTTGTTGTATTTGCAATGGTGTGTTGCTTTGCAGCATTTTTTCTCCTTAGTTCTTTGCCTGCCATTCCTCGCCACCTCGCTGGCGCTGCTCAAACATAACTGGTAATCTAGATACTACCGTTTCTGCTGCTGCTTTTACTGCTGCTGCTGCTGTTGCTGCAGTTGCTCTCGCTGGATTTGCTGTAAGTATCAATGCTGCATTAGTGTCACTGTTCACCGAGCTTTATCAGTGTTTTGGGTGCTGCTGCTGTAGCAGCTCAAGTTATCTCGTGCCGAAACTCTGCGGGTGCGCTATCTTTGTAGGTATCCATCGCGTGTCTTCGTAGGAGATACATATACCTGCTTTGCGGTAAGTAATTTAAAGGGTTTAAGGCTGAAGAATCCTGAGACTTCTAAGTAACGAGACAGTGACTGTGGCAAGTCTGTCGTTTATGCACTCCTCACTCATCCTTAAATAAGGAAGACTCTAATTTTGAGGACCAAGTGCTCAAGCTTTGCATTGTAAAGCTAACTTCTTTTGTTGCAGGGCGTAGTTTTGGCTGCTGCCGGGATTTTAGGCCATTTTTCTAAGACTTTGCTGCTATTTTTTATTCCCCAATTTCTGAATTTTTTAATTTCTCTCCCTCAGGTGAGATTTATGTAGCTGCTATCTCGGAAGAAGGCCCAGATAAACGCAGCACTTCTCTGTACACTCCTTTATATAATTGCAAACTAGCTATTGGCTTGGTTACTTGGTGGCTGATAGGCTGATTTTCTTCAATTTTGTACACGTGCTCCATGAGGCGAAGAAAAACAAGGAACAGAAACAGACGAACTGTTTCTCAGCTGCATTTGTATCTAATTGAAGATTCGTTTCCACATATACGCGTTAACACTTATTTGACACAGTTGCAGTTGATTTTATGAGTCATTTGATAAGGTTTCCCATCTCTGTGTGCTGCTTCGCAGCTCCTCGGCTTTGTTCCGTGCCCTCGCCATCGTACTCCCAAGTAAGATTTCTTGGTATAGCTGTCATGTTTGCTGCACTATTTACGCAGCACGGACAACTTTTATGTCTTTTTACTCTAAGCGCTGCATAAAACGTGATTGTATGACCCACAAAGCAAGAGTAGAAGAAATTGCTGTACCTGTGTCTCCTCAGGTACATACCCGAGTTGGGGCTGTTGGTGCCCTCGCCGAACTTCACGTTGATAAACCTCGTTTTATGGGTGAGCCACTCATTTTTTAATTTTTCGGATATTCATTCTATTTGTAATATAACGATTTAAAGCGTGCCTGTACATCTTTTCTTACGTGGACTTTTTGCTAATTTTCTTGCTGCTGCTACTGCAGGTCTTTGGCCCAATGACGGAGCAGCGGCTTCTCTGTATTCTGTTGTTGCTGCAAGCCGCGTGCTGCGCCTTGGGCCTGCTCCTGCGCTATCACATTTGCACGTTTTTGCTCTTCGCCTGAATTTATGGGCAGGCGAGATCCCCAAGGACGAGGGGAGTAGAGAATAAGTGCGGCATTTCACTTCTACTTCTATTGTAGATCAAGGTAACTGCAAAGAAAGGAGTGTGCTGTCTTGATGTCCCCACAGAAAGAAGCGAGGATGTTCACTGGCGCTGTCACATTCATGCACTTTCAAGTTCAGCTGCTGGCAAGCAAAGCAGCACTGACAGTCTGCCCCGCTATCAAGGCACATTCAGCCCTCTCTGGAGTGGGCGCATTCGCTCACATAGCACATTAACTCTTGGGATTTAACCATTCTAGCTATTTAGGGATGCTTGAAATGCCTGTCTAAGGCCATGTAAGTACAGACAAATACATGCGTATACATATTTTTCGGAGTAAGCAGAGAAGTAGGTAAATACAAAGGAAGTCGGCTCACTTGAAGATGCGCACTTATATACGGGCGTACGTAAGAGCTACAGCACAGTTGCTGTCGCCTGAAGAGAGTCAGAAGTACTTCAAGAAAGGGAACATTCCGTTTTCTGGACGCTTTTCCATCTACTTTGTCAAGGTGTGTCAGCCTCTCTCCTACCTGTTCATCTACATATCTTATTGTCTTAGGATGCGCAGGCAATGGATCCACTTTCTCTGCCTCAATAAATCTGTAATTGTACGCTGGTTCAGCTTAGATCGGTGGTGTGATTTGTGCCGAGCTTACAATTTAGCTGAGTGCAGTTTCGCTTCCCCTAATTAAATAACAACACAGCCACTCCAGCATTCTGTGGGCTAGTTGCAACAAGATGATGAGTATCACAGACGTGAGAATACTTCTTACACGCGACACTCTACCAAAAAATTCTTTTCCACTTGTGGCTAGACGATGATGTCGCATGTAGCAACGCCCTCAGCTCTAGGCCGCTCACGAAAGACAAATCATGGCTACAAATGGAGGTCTTTTTTGTCAAACAGTGCAGAAGAAAAACAGTGTAAGGATTTCCCACAGGGCTAGACCTGCACTTGAGGCTAGCGGGGCTGCGTAGATTTAAATAACAATAGATAGCAATAGACTAGACCGATTCACCTAATGACAATTCATGGGCCCGCTACGAATTGAAGCTTATCATGGCTGTATTTGCGCCAATTGTGTCTGAAAAACTTTCCGAATTGATGTTGTGGGACACTCGCGGTCACTTCTCGCAATGATATCTACATGGAAATATACAGCGGACCTGCGCATGTTCACCATGCAACTCTTTACTCCTCAAGCATTGGTTCCCTTCGCTTTTGTTTGTGCTTAGGAAGGGGAACAAAACTAGAGGTCTCCATAGACGTGTCTGCGGATATTGGTCACCAGGATTTGAGTCGCTCTGAAATCCATTTCAGGGAGGGACGAAAGCAATGTAGTTGAGCGGTAAATTAGCGCCACAATCTATACCTTTCATAAATGATGAGCAGTGTTTGATACTTGGAGGAGCTGAAAAGAAGAGATCCAGCTGAGAAGTTGCCCACGCAGAAGTAACTGCCTAACAGGCTATGGTGCAGGACGACGGTGTAGCGATAGCAGCGGTCGGCAACAGTTATAACCGGCACACAGGCAGCTGCAGCAGGACCAAAATCTAGGACTACCATAATCTATATTGCAGTGAAAACTACCGAAAAGTGAGAAGGCACAAAACGGCGCTTCCGAGGGGGCGACTTTGCGCAGCGCATTTTGTCACTCTCGTTGTTGTGCATGCGTTTTGCATGCGTGAGCATCTGGCTAGGTGGAAAGGATTTAGATTTCTCAAGTATGGTACACCTTTCTAGAAGATCAACACAAAAAATTGGACCAATGATCGCAAAGTTCTAAGTTGCTTTCGACAAATGCATGCCGGCGACAGCGGAGCTGTCTGTACACTTAGCGAAGCCCAACCGTCCGAATGGCCAGTTAACTCATTGATTTTCATGGAAATGCGCCGCCTTACTTCTTCATTGTCCCCAGCAGGTGTATCGGCTGCTTGTCGTCTCCTATTTCCGCGGGCTTCTCCGGTCTTATCGGGTTTAGTATCACAGCAACGCGCAAGTTTCAGCAGCAATGCCGGCGGCACAAATCTTACTTTTCGCATCCACCGATATGATCCAGAGAAGGGCGGGCGTCCTCACATGCAGGAGTACACGCTCGATACTTCCACCTGTGGTCCGATGGTCCTGGACGCCCTCATTGCCATAAAGGACAGACAGGTGCTATTTCCCCTTGATTTATCCTGACACAGCTGCGCTAAGTCTGCGCGATGCTTTGTTTTGAACTTTCCCGCAAAGATGTGCGTGGTCCCCCCTGAAGGTTATTGGAAGGAATCCATAGCTGCATCGGCGCCTTGAGGCGCCGGCTCGTGCAGCGCATGTGCAGCTGCTCACCATCCCGTCGCTGCAAATTAGACACATGGCTGCACCATGCTGTGTGTTTGCTGGCGCTCTGTTGCTATTATAGGACCCTACCCTCACTTTTCGCAGGAGCTGTCGCGAGGGCATTTGCGGCTCCTGTGCCATGAACATCGACGGCATAAATTGCCTCGCTTGCCTCACGCCCATACAGAAGACCCACCGCTCCACACACAGAAGCCCTAAGATCCGTGAGCGTTTAAATTTGCATGCGCTTGACCCCTCTGCGTCTATGCAGTGTTTGTCGATGGCCCTTCGGCGCAAAAGTCGGCCATAGCGTGGCCCTGTGCGGACCTAATGGCAGCACACACAGCGTGTAGTGCTACATAAATACATTAATGTGGATGATCTTGTTTTGCAGTGTGATGTGCTGCACTTGTGCTGTGTCTGGGCAGAGGGCGGCACTCTGGGCGCCGCTTTTGGCGCCATTGAAAAGAGCCTGGAGGCCCAGGACCACATGAAGGGGCCCAGCACTGAAGAGTATCACGACCACTTCGAGAAGGATGACGACGGCGCCCCAGTTGAAATTGTGCCGCTACCATACTTAATGGTGCTGAAGGATTTGGTGCCGGATCTCACAAACTTCTACACGCAGTACAAGTCCATCCAGCCCTGGCTGCAGAGGAAGACAGAGCCGGTATAAATAAAACTGCGCAAGTCCTGAAACTGTTCTGTGAAGGTAGCACCGTGGGCTGAGCTGTCTGGACACTTGAAGTCCTGGCGAGTGTGCACTTGTGATCTTTCCCCTTTTTCTGTTTCGTATTGTTTGCTGTAGAAGGAAGGCTCTGAGATTCTGCAGTCAATTGAAGACCGCGCGAAACTCGACGGGCTGTATGAATGCATCTTGTGCGCGTGCTGTTCGACTTCTTGTCCTTCTTACTGGTGGAATCCTCAGTCTTATCTTGGCCCTGCTGTGCTGATGCAGGCTTTCAGGTGCGTTGGCACTTGGCTGTTAGTATCTGAATGGCCGCAAACTGAACAAAAGTAGACAGAGTTGGTTTTGGCTGCGCACGCAGAGGGAAAATGGCCTGCATATATTGCAATTGTTTCCAGTCCGGTCGGTGTTCATTTTCTATTTTGTCTAGGTGGATAAGCGACAGTCGCGATGAATTCACTCGCGAGCGTCTCGCACAAATCAACGACACGATGAAACTGTACAGGTCAGCAGCGGTTGATTTCCTCTGCTGGTCTGAGCTGTCGATACACCCTAAAGCAACGCTCCAAGCGTTCTCCCTTCCTCCTGCACCGCTTTAACTCGTAATTGCGTTTTCATGATGGAGTTGCCGCAGAGCACAGGCTGTGGCTTCAATGCACTTTTTCGCGTGCTAAAGTTAATGTTAGGTCGTTTGTGATGTTTAATCGGAATCGTAAGAGATGAGGCACATGCGATGCATGCGGATCTTTCACGCAGGTGCCACGGCATTATGAATTGCTCCATTTCGTGCCCGAAAGGTTTGGATCCGGCGGGTAAGGGCTTTGGCAGGTCATTTCCAAGGTTTTTCATGGTTAGGATTTGCGTCTTTTGACGCACTGCATCTGTGACTGTGTTGGTGCTGTGCCGTTGCACCAGCTGATGATGGCTTTCCTTCACATCTCGGTGTGGTGTGTGCAGGAGCCATTAGGAAGATGAAGAAGCGAATTGAGGAGGAGTTCGGCACAGACTTTGTCAAACTTGCAGCCCAGGCCGCCCGTTCACGTTCCGCGGAGTTGGCCAAAGAACTCAAGATCGATTCTCAGCCGTGACGCGGACACTAAACTCGCGAGCAGCAGACTGCGCGAGCCCCCGCGCCGGCCCACGACTGCCCCACTTCATGAGCCTGCGTGGCTGTGCCCGCATAGTCGCCTAAGGCGTTGTCCGCGCAGTTTGGGGCGCGGAGTGTGTCGGCCTCGACTGGCCTCAGCCGAAAGAGTGCCAGATCCGTTACTAGAGCTCAATGCGTGATGTGGCGTCGGAAAATGCAGCGGCAAACGCAATTGCAAAAGGGTCCGACGCAGAGGCGGCGGCAGTTAGCTCCTCTGTGCCTTGCCAGCCCCTTTGTTACCTCTACCCACGCTACTACCAACAGTTTACATGTTTCTAGCCTTGCTTTGAATACATTATGCGTTATCTTTTCGCACGTATTCGCATGGGCTCCAGCTGCATTTTCGTCCGACTATTTGCACGCACCCCATCTGCTCATACACTTTGAGCCCCTGCTTGCTAGCCTAGTGAACTCGGGTGTATATTCACTGAGAGTATATGCACTGGAGCTGCAATTGCACGGGGACTTAAAAGCCGCCTTAGTGCTGCCCAAGAGACACGTGGACGAGGTGTGGAAGAAGTGCTGAAGTTGAAGAGCCGTTGTGGCGGCGCCACTAGTCCTTTGCATGCGCAAGCCTCAGGCTACGGTGCATGCAAAGAAGCGGCAAGCAACAGGGAGCCTCCACCCGCAGTTCAGAAAGGCCCAAACTGCCGCTGCTTTCTGCAGTCAACGCGCTGCAGTCAACTCAGCGGTTCAAAACTATCCCGTCGTACTTTTGCTGGAACCAACGAATGCTGTCTTCCTTCGTCACGCGGTGGCGGTGCCCAATGCGGCCCCGTGCCCACTTGCGCTTCGAGACGC